AGCTGAGTTTTCATACTCAGATTAATGACGTCATTATTTGCTTAGTTTGATAAAAAGTTATTACATTACAACACAGGTTCGAACCTCACTTTTAAAGTGAGTTTACGAGACTCACTAAAGTACACGGTCTCAATCTTATGCAGATTATAGGCAAAAACTCTATTAAATCTCACTCGTCAGAATATAAAAGGAACGCGCATTCAACTGAGTTATGACATCACAAGTGAGAATTATCTAAGAATCGGTGTAAATGGAAAGCAACTTATAGGTCTCTTTTTTGTGGCTGAACTAGTATACACTTTTGGAACTTAAAGTGAGATATATTAGGTATACAACTTTGTTTCCGTCGTTTTTTTTTCCGAAATTCGAGGCTTTATTGTAAAAAACTGGTTATACATTTATGATTCAAAGTGTTGTCCATCGCTGGCCACTACTCTCTCCCATCTTTCGGGCAGCGTACAAATCCCACGTCGAAAAAACTGATCATCTTTTGAGGTAATCCACGAATCGATCTAATTTTTTACTTCTTCATAAGACCGGAAGTGCTGATCAGCCAGGCCGTGTGCCATTGATCCAAACAAGTGATAGTCAGAGGGAGCAACGTCTGGAGAATACGGCGAATAGGGTAGGACTTCCTATTTCAACGTTCCCAAGTATGTCTTGACCACTTTCGCAACATGGGATCAAGCATTGTCATGCTGCAAATTCACTTTATCGTGTCTCTCGTTGTATTGCGGCCGTTTGTCTTTCAATGCTCGGCCCAAACGCATCAATTGCGTTCGATACCGATCGCCTGTGATTGTTTCAGTCGGTTTTAACAGCTCATAATACACTACGCCGAGCTGGTCCTACCAAATACAGAGCATGACCTTGGAGCCGTGAATATTCGGTTTGGCCGTCGACGTGGAAGCATGGCCGGAAACTCCTCATGATTTTCTGCGCTTGGGTTATCGTAATGAACCCATTTTTCGTCCCCAGTCACAATGCGATGCAGAAATCCCTTCCGTCTTTGCCTTTCAAGCAGCTGTTCACAAGCAAACGAACGTCGTTCAACATCTCTCGGCTTTAACTCGTATGGCACCCAATTTCCTTGCTTCTGAATCATTCCCATGGCTTTGAGGCGTTTTGAAATGACTTGTTGAGTCACTCCCAATGATCGTGCCAATTCTTCTTGATTTTGACACGAGTCTTGATCAAGTAATGCCTCCAATTCTGCATCTT